ATCTTTAATAGGATCTTTTTTGTTGTTGTTATTTGTTTGAAAACTAAGAGAAGCAAAGACCTGAGTAGGAAAGCCAGTTAGAAGGCTTTTCAAACAAGAAAGCAAAACATGATGGAGGATGATCCAGTATGGGAAAATGTGTGATTCCGGATATTTTGATATTATCTTATAGAACTGCAAGAAAAAGAATCAAAGTTGGCTCCCAAGTTTTTGTCTTGAGTACTTATAAGGATCTGCTGGCTTTATTTTCATTAACCAATATAGGAACAGTTCCTAGAAGAAGCTTTAGTTGGGAACAAAGGAGTCTTTGGGAGTCAGAGTCGGTCATTTTAAGTTTGAAATGTTTCTGCGATATCTAAGCAAAGGTATCAAGTAGGAAATCATACATAATGGAATTTATGTCTAAATTCTCTATGTAGCATATGGATGTGAGATCTGTACAGTAAGAAGATACTGAGAGAGTCATCATTCACTTCTAGATGGCATATAAGACTATGAGACTTGATGACTTTAACAAAGACATGCATGGTATCTTGGAACAGATTGGCAGCAAGTTGAGATTCTATCAAATTTTGGACATATTTTGATATTAGTTGATCAATAAGAGAAAAAGGAATAGGTGGATGACCTCTGGGATGCTACAGCATTTACTGGTATGGGAGAAGAGAAAGGAGCAGCAAAAACCTAGAAGGATATGCTAGAGAGAAAGAGGGTAAAACAGGAAAGAATAGTGGCAGGAAATCAAGTCAAGTATAGGAAATATGCAAAGGAGAAATGAAAGATCGAGAGGATTCCATGATGTGATACAGATATTCGGGACCAAAAATCTACTAAGTGTATTTGACAACGTGGAGGTTACAGATGACCTTGATGAAAACATCTGTGGAGTGGAAAGCACAATGACAGGATTGAAGGTGGAGTTTAGAGATTCTGTAAGGGAATAGGAGGAAGGAAATTGGAGGCAGAAACTAAGGATACTTTTTGAAAGAAGGTTATTGTAAAAAGGAGATTTTTTTCAAGATGGAGATACAAGATATGTATGGTGATGTGAATGATTCAGAGATGGTGGTAAAATTGATTATTCATGGATAAAGTGGTGAATAATACCCATGCAATACATTTGAATCATGCTTATCAAGTGCTATTAAGTGGAAATATAAGACAACGAAATGTAGTCTCTACTCTCATGGAATGCACATGACATTTTCCAGCTCTTCTCTCTAGCTCAAAGTGGTTCCCAATGAAAGGCTCTACTTTCAGCATTAAATGTGAATCAAAGCCATCTTATGAGAATGATGAAGGAAATGGTAAGCTTGAGTTGAATGCATAATGTTTGATGACATATGAAATACTATATATTAGAAGAATTTTATAGGCCATTTTTTTAATTTGCAGGGATACCTGCTTGCATATCATGTGATGTTTCTATGAGAAAACAAAGCTGTGTAAATGTATAAGGCTGTAGTTACACTAAGGAAGTAATAAGAAAAAAAGAGGGGATAACAGTGACAGAGTTCATCTATTAGTGTATATATCTAGGATAGAAACTGTCAGTGAATTCAGGAGATGTCTAAAAGATTGGAAGGAAATATGAAGACAAAATTCCTGGAGGTACATATACAGATTAAATGAGGATAAGTTTTTGGAAGATAGTAGAATGATTCATATTTGTAATCAAAAGAGAGAAATTCAAATAAATGTCAAGTTTAGAGTTGGATTACTGGTATACATAGTTGGAGGGCAGGTGAAGATCATAGGGAATTCTGAAATAAGGTGGTAGATGAGATTTTTTTCCCAAAGGGCACAGAAGTAAGCTAGCACAATGACAAGATTGGAGGTGAGAAGAAGATTGACATCAGTGATGAATATCAGGGCAAGAGTTTGAAATTAGTATTTGATAAGACAATCAGCATAAAATTCAGAGAAGGACAAATTCTTTACATAGGTGAACAATATTTTGAAAGCTGTAAAACTGACAAGGTAGATATAAATGTTCTCTAATGAAACCACGGTGTGTACCATATGGGACATAGGTAGCAACAAGGTATCAAGAAAGGGAAAATAAGCTTGGAGAAAATCCAGGTTTCCAAGATACAAGCCTTCTATCTTTCTTCTTTCTTCCATGGTTTCAGGCTAGCTCTCTCTCTCTCTCTCTCTCTCTCTCTCTCTCTCTCTCTCTCTCTCTCTCTCTCTCCCCTGCAGATTGAACTACTCAAGGGCACTCTATACTGAGCCACATCCCATCCCTTTTATTTATTTATTTGCTTTGGGGGAGAAGATATCTCTAAGTTTCCAAGGCTGACCTCAAACTTGCCATCCCCCTGCTTCAGTCTGTCCAGTTGCTGTGATTTTAAGCATGCACCTTTGCACCCCACCCTGTTCAGTCTCCTCTGAGGATCTCATTTATATTAAATGTTAGTGTATATCCTCTGATAAAGAAGTCTTCTGCTTAAATTTAATTAATCATTTCACAGAAATGTATCTATTAGTTTATGATTAACTTATTTTGTCACATTATAAAATTTAAATAGAAATATTTGTATGGAGTAATTGTATGGGAGTAATTCTGATGATACCTGAGGGAAATATTTTTAATACATTTGTTTATGATTTCAAAATTCAGATGGTTGGTGTCTGTTTCTGTTTATTCCTAGGATTTATTGTCCTTTACCTTCTTCTCAACAATTATGCTACTATTTAAAATATCCTCTGGGAAAAGCATATATACTTGTGTGTATGTATGTGTGTGTGTGTGTTTATATACATTTATATTTATACACACATGCAAATATATAATATGAAAAAAAATGTAAAAGTCTAGGAAGCATTCTTCCTTCAGCTGGTCTTTGTTTGTTTGTTTGTTTGTTTTTAAATTCTGAGGAATCTGCTTTTTTTGTCCTAAGTTTTTTTAAAAAGTTGTTTTTATTAAATGAATGTTCCATGTTCAGCCAGAGGAAGGAGAAGTTGTGTACAATGTGTCAAAATGCATTCTACCATTACGCATAACTAATTAGAACAAATTAAAATATTTAAAAATAAGTGAATGTTCCTCACACATTAGCTTTTCCAAATGCCTCATACTTATGCAAGGTCAAGACAATACAACCAACTTCATGCTATGAGAGTGTGCAAACAAACTTCTATTTTTCCCTTATAAGCACTGTTCAGTTGCTGGAGTGCACGAAACGCAAGTTACTGTATCATTTTGCATGTTTACCTAGTAAGAGTTCTGCATTTAATATGCAGAAAATCTATTGAAATACATTATTCATTGCATATGAAAGCAGTACACCATCAAAAATTAAATTTATTTTCCCATACTAAATGCAGCTCTTTTTCATTTTGGATACCAACCACTCATATAATTGAATCATCCGAATAGACCAACAGAACAAAACTAATCTGGGTGGCTTAAGAAATAAATTTTATTTTCTCGTAGTTCTGGAGTCTGGTAATCCCAGATTAAGGTCAAATAGGATCTGCTTTTGATGAGAGCTCCTTTCTTCCTGGCTTATATGACCCTTCCTTGGTGTGTTCTGAAGGAGGAGAGAGAGAAAGAAAGTTCTACTGTCTCTTCTTATAAGGTCACTAACCAAATCAGATAGAGCCCCCTCACTCTTATGACCTCATTTAACCTTATTACATCTTGGAGACATCATTCTCAACACAACTGCACTGATGGTTAGGACTCCAACATGAATTTGGGGGCAAGGTACAACCATTTAGTTTATACCAATGAGTGCGTACTTAACCATTAAGGGTAGTTTCTTCAATACTTTTTGATGCATGGAACAGCCTTCCCAATCAGTCCCCATGTAGAGGTATTAACCTATAACAGAATGTCTGTCCCAGGCTTTTTTATTTTATAGAAAAACCATGTGACTCACTGAGATCTGTTTGGGATTTCATTTAAGATGAACGACTGACATAGACAGGAACTTCAAGTCTTCCATGAAGAGACAGGAACGTAGACTCAACAAGAAATATTGAGTAAACAATCAATAGAAAAAATGAAAAAAATATGTATCAAAAATTGATGGGAAAGCACACAGAGTCTGGAAAGGTTGTGACACATTTGGTTGGGATAGGAAGAATTTTCCTGATTGTACCATCATGTAGGTGCAGTGGGCTGTCAGGCAAGGAAAATGAACACATAGCCAGGTGGTAAACAGACTGAGTCATGAAAGGGTGTTTGTGCCAACTGAGGCATACTTTACAGTTGAAACCAAATTCTAGATTTTGATTAAGTTTCATAGATATTTTCATTACATAAATTAAAAGTTAATATCTTAATAGCCAATGGAAAATACTTAATTTTTGTTTTAAAATAAAATTCTGGTCATCTATTTCCTTCCCATTTTATGCATATACCTACTAGAGCTCCTTGTGTTCTATTTGGCTTTAGTTTCTATTTCCTTTCAGACTCTGGGGATGCTCAATGACAGCGACTGAAGATTTGCATCTTCAGGACATGACTCAGTACATAGGAGGGACTCAATGGGTATTTCTTGAAAGATTTTAGAAATCAATGGCAACTGAGTTCACTTCTATTCAAGAGATTTTCCAGTTCTATAATTATAATTCCCAAGAACTCTTGGAGGCTAAAGGAACCAGATGTGGAAACAATTTTTACATTTCATGTCTATCTAATTAAGAATTTACTGGGATGGGATTATTTTGGTGTTGTTCAGACAACATTCCTTCTGTTGTCTTTCCCCAGACAGTGTTTGCTTACTTTGGTCCACATGGTCTAGTCATTAATTAGCATTTGTTTAGATCATCAAGTAATTGAATCCTCAAAGCAGAGCTGTTTAACTCACGTGAATGATGTTTCAGAGGTTTACTTTTCTTCTTCTGAACCCTCCTAATTTTCAAAATCAGTGGTTAAATGAGTGTTATAGGAGCTTGTATGTATTTTTTCCCAATTGCTCATTCATAAATTCTCCAAGGAAATTTGGAAAAAATTCAATAATGAGACAGTTTCTTTGTTTTCCTTCTAGATAACATGAATGAGGATGATACATTCAATTGGAATATAACTACTCCTTCCTATCATGGTAATGTTTATAAGTAATCATTTTGATATGCCTTGCAAAAAAATGGACAATATAATTTAAAAATAGTTACCAGATTTCTTCAAGTTAGGTTAGTACAAAATAAATTATGTGGGTAGCACTTCCAATATTACAAAATTTCTTCCACAATAATTGTTTGTCCTTTCATTAGCTATTCATGGATGTTCTGAGGCATATTTTACAGTTGAAACCAAATTCTAGATTTTGATTAAGTCTCATAGATATTTTCATTACATAAATTAAATAGTTTGGGGCCAATTATGTTTGTGTAGTCACGTGGTAGTAGTGAGGATGGGGCTAGTATTCACATATACCTGTGTTTTCCAGAATGTGAACATCTTCATAGGCTAGAAGAATTACATAGACCTTCATTTGAGATTCCTATCTGCTTCCAGTAATGTGCAACAGAACTACGATTATTTTGATTTGAGCCAATTAATTCACCATAAGCTGTATAGTTCAAATGCAAGTTCTGAAAATTTATTGTCTACATTTGGAAGACTTGGATTCAGAGATTTTCTACTACAACTTGGTTTGGGCCCAATACATTTCCCATCACTCTGGATCATAATACATACCCAATATAGATGATAGATGCTTCAAATAGCACACTGCTCAGGTCTCAGGATATTCATACTTACTCTAAAGAAAGTAATGTTTGCCAAAAATGGCACATTGGCACATCATTGTATTTTGCTCATAGATGTCTCACAATTTTTGCAGATTCTAAATGTATGGGTTTGTGTTTACTTTTTCATGACCTGAGCATATCCATTTCTTTCAGGATTCAATGGGATCCAGTCCTGTTTGGAAGTGACAGAGGCGTGTGTAGGGGATGTGGTGTGTAATGCACAGTTGGCCCCTTACCTTAAAGCATGCTCAACAAATGGAGATCTGTGTGATGTGAAACACTGCCAAACAGCCATACGGTTCTTCTATCAAAATATGCCTTTTAACGTTGCCCAGATGTTGGCTTTTTGTGACTGTGCTCAATCTGATATACCTTGTCAGCAGTCCAAAGAAGCTCTTCACAGCAAGCCATGTGCAGTGAACATAATTCCACCCCCTACTTGCCTCAATGTAATTCACAGCTGCCGAAATGATGAATTATGCAGGTGAGTAAAAACATGCATACCTTACTTTCTTATTTCGGCACCTTATTTGTTACAGTCCAGTCCTAACACTTGATCCCATTACATTAGCTGGTGTTCCCACCATTATCCACTGTGGTGTAAATAAAACCAGACAATTCATAGTTTTGAATCTGTGGTACGTGTCTAGTGACCTTTTTGAAATTTTAATGCAGAATAGGTTTTTTATAATAAAGCAATTCAGTATCTGAAAATTTGGAAATCATATTTTTAATTATATATTCAAGTTGAACTAATGAATTGGTTAACATTCCAGGTTTGTATAACAGTTTCAGAATTTTGCGGGGGAGGGGACTGATTATATAAGGCTGCCAAATGTCCTAGAATTTTGTCAGGGTGGCTATTTGACCTTCAGAATAAATCCTCTCTGTGTTAGACTGAAGATCATGAATGGATCTCTCAGTAAACATCTGAAGGAAGAGATATCAAGCCAATGTTCTCAAGCCAATTGTATCTCTTCCCATGTTGAGGAAGAAATATGAGTGACAAGGTCAAAAAGCAGTAAGGATGGGGTGTGCAAGGGGCAAAGCAACAGGCAATGAGGCCAGAAATTAAATTGGGTAAAGTGTGGGCAGGACTAGATCACTAGGGCCCTGAATGATTTTGCAAGGTTTTGGCTTTTAGCATAAGTAAAATGGAGGATTTTACATAAGTACTGGAGGATTTTGAGCAGAGTTATGAATGATCTGGCTCCTGTATTAAAACTTTCACTCTGCCCCCATGCAGGTAATACACATATATAAACATATGTTACTCTCTTTCTCTATCTATCTCTATCTATCTATATCTATATCTATCTATCTATCTATACACACACACACACACACACACACACACACACACACACACATATAAGATTGTTTGGTCTGTTTAATTCCGTCTTTCCTTTCTTTCCATTTATCCTTCCTCCCTCTCTGTCCTCTTCCTATATTTTCATGAGTTCCCCCTACATTTTTTTTAAATTTCTTATTTAGGTCTAGCTTCTACATATGAGTGAACACATTCAACACTTGATTTGGGGTTTGTCTTATTTCACTTAGCATGATGGTCTCCAGTTGCATCCAATTACCAGAAAATGTCATAATTTTATTCTTTTTTATGGCTGAGTAAAACTCCATTGTGTACATATGACACATTAATAGTACAAGTTAGAGTTTTAAATTGAGTTTTTTCGAAAGTTCTTATTAGTGAACTACTATATTTCATTGATTCTATCATGCACAAGTTTTTATACATTTTAACATTTTGATGCATCTGAAATGAGTCTTAAGGTCAATGACATGAAAATATTTTTCTTAATATAGTTGCTTGTGGCAGTTTTTAGTTGTGCATAAAAAATGTTGGTATCTTTTGAAATCAGAGAAATGTAAGCATGTTTGATCACATTATTTTTCTCATATCACAAAGAGATTCTATATAAAAATCTGTTTATCAACCTATCATCTATCTAACTGCCAATCTATTATCTATACACACTAACCATGGAGTCTAATAATATTTTAACTAGCCATCACCAAAGGGACACCAATCCCCGTGAAAATATCAGATGTTTTTCCATAAATGGGTACCTGGCTTTGCCTGACTCTAGTGCCAGAAACTGATGTATGCTACCTTGTTATCCTGAAATCATTTGCACATAACATTCAGAACATGGTATTTTTGAGCCTCCATATCAATTAACAGATTTTAATGGCAAGTGATGGAACACCTTGCTATAGTCTTGAGAATCTGATAGAGTCTCTCATATTAACCTCCCCTTGGTATCAGCTCCTTCTCAGACTGGTACAGAATAGTTGGTTTTTCTCTACAAGGTCTCTAATGTTTAAGTACCTCTCTGAAGTGTTTGGTACAGGATCTGGAATAGGATAAACACTCAGTTCATAATTTTCCCTTCATTTTTGAAAATTGTGTACTTAGTTTTTATATTTTATTGAACATGTACATATCTCTTCTTACATTATTTCTTTCTCAGATTAGTTCACAGAGTAACAGTTTTGTGCCTTCAATTTTCTTTCACTATGTGCAAATAGTGCCTTAATGAATACTTTATAGAGGCAATGAAAATATTATACAATATGAGTATTCTATGTGAAAAGACAAATTCTCTCATTTTCCCAAGCAAATTCTGCCTTAGGGGGATTTCCAGCATTTATATTAAATTATTGCTAATGTAATTCAGATGAAAAAGTCTCCTAATGGAAAATGCTTTATCACTTCCTTTCTTATGGAAGAGCTTGTATGTGGGCAAATCAGGGTCTTGGATTTTAAAATTGAAATTTCTTGTTCCATATTCTTCAATTCAGAAAGGGTTTTGAAACTTCTTTAATTTTTGAATAGTTGAAAGGAGCCAATATAAAGGTCATTTCTAATTTATCTTGTCTGATATAGAGATCCAGTGGAAGCTGAGATTATTTTTCTTCTAATTATGTTTAGGAACTTATGGGAAATAATACTACATTATATTTTCATATGTAAGACTAAAAAAGTAGTGAAAAAAGTATTTGCTTAGAAATAATTCTACTTACTTTAAAAGAAGTCATTTATTTTAAGTGTTATGGTACATTTACAAAATGTAGTTACATATTAGGTTACAAAAGGAATATAGTACACTTAATGTACAAATATTACTTACACCAAATTTCCTTAAATTTTTCAATGTAACTAGAAATTAATAGCAAAAATGAAATAATTCATTTTTAAAAATTAGTCTTTTAAACACTTTGTTGTTTGAACAATTAGCTAAAATAAGACATTGAAGAATATCAAGAAAATAAAGATAATGAAAATGCCATGCATCAAAATATTCCAAACCAAATGAAAATTTTAATATAATTTTTTTGCCAAATGTTGATTTCCAATGAATTAGGTATTTGTGTAACAAAGTAGTTTTTATTTTTAATGAAATATTTTTTAATGTATTATTCTGGCAAACTTTCACTACTATTTTCTAAATGAAAAAAATTATACAACTTTAATTTAGTAGAACCCAAATTTTTAAAATAATATTTGTTAAAAATAATAAATAATAAAAAATTAAAAATGCCCAAGTTCGTATTTACTCTGTCAACTTCCTGATAAATTATCAATACTTTAAAAACTTATATTTAGATAATCATATCATATATAATTTTATATATAACCATTAATTGCATTAAAGGAACATATGTGTTTTGGCCTCAGAATCATTTAGGAAATTAGTAGTATTTTCTTAATTATCAATTTTATTACATACTAATTAACTTTCACCATTGTACTGAAAAGGTGATATTTCAGATTATTTAAATGTGACATTATTGAGAACAATGTGGCTTTTTCCTTTTTAGCAAAATAGCCCTCTGTGGACCAATAAGCTCACTGTGGCATGTATCCTAAGGGCTTCCATCACTAATGGCTGTAACCTATTTAAGAAAGAGAAGAAAGTCATTTTAGGTGATAAATATTAAGTTGGAAGACTAATATCCTTCATTCTACGGAGAAAAACTGTGAAAGTTTCAAAAATGAAATTGCTGAACATTATCTAGACTTTTATTAAAAGCTAATATGGCAAGAATCCAATATATAGAAAAGTTATAGATGGATGCATTTCCAATGGATTTTCTTAGCCATTAAGTAAACTGCTAACATTTTGTTCTTGCTGCCAGAGAATCTCAAAACATTTTGTAAATTCTAATTAGAGTCTGCTTAGAAATGTGAAATACATATTATAGCACCAATTCTGTGGGAAAATTGACTTGAAAGGTCAAGTGCTTTGTTTGAAATCAGTTGATGTTTGAGAAAATGGCCAAATGCTAGTTCCAAAACCATGTTAAACTCGAAAAATCAATGCTGCAAAATCTCTCAGATAATTCTGTTTCTTTCACTCTTTTTCTTTCTTTCTTTTCTTTTTTTTAATCATACATTACCTGGGACTGTTTCCTTTTTTAAAAATTTTTATTTTTTTAGATATATATAACAGTAGAGTATATTTTGACATATTATATATACATAGAGCCTAACTTATTCTAATTAGTTATGAATTGGTTCTGTATTGGATTAGATAGAGGGGAATGAAGGGAAGGGAGGGAGGAAAATGAGAGTAGAAAAGACAGTAGAATGAATCAGACATAACTTTTCTATGTTCTTCATTCTTGTTCCAGGAGACGCTATAGAACATTTCAGTCCAAATGCTGGCCTCGGGTAACTGGAAAGTGCCATGAAGATGAAACCTGCATCAGCATGTTGGGCAAACAGGACCTCACTTGCTCAGGAAGTGATGACTGCAAAGCAGCGTACTTGGGCACCCTTGGGACTGTTCTTCAAGCACAGTGCACCTGCAGAAGTGTCACACAAAGTGAAGAGTCTTTGTGCAAGATTTTTGAGCACATGCTTCATAGAAAATCATGTTTTAGTAAGTTCTCTAATTGAAATCCTATCCCTATTATTCTTTCTTTCTTTATATCTTCTATTTATCTCTTTTTTTCACTATGCAGTGCATAATGGTAATCCTGCTCAAAAAATTTGTTCACAAAGACAATTTATGTTTGCTATTCACTTTTAAAATCTATTTTCTGATTAAGATCTCTATATTTGCTATTTTACTCACTTTTCAGAAAATGGCAATTTTTATGTTTTATGAAATAGTTCACTCCTAGTTATCATTTTTGAATTCAATACCAAAAGCATAAAAGTTTTGACTTGTGCAAAGTTATAAACCAGCTCAAAATATTGGCATAAGATAATAATAAAACAGCTCAAAATATTGGCTTACAACAATATTTATTTGATTACAATTCTGCAGATTGGGCTTGGATCTACTGTTGAAATCTTCTGACAGTTTTGTCTGGGTCACTCATGTAGCCTCAGCCATCTGTTAATCTACTGAGGCTCCACAGTCCCAGATGGTGTTTAGCAAGCATCATTGGCTGATGTGGCATGGTCCCTCTATAGAGGACCTCTTCAGCAGTAATGTATTGGACTTTTTCTTGCTGGCAGCAAAATTTCTAGTAGCTAAGATCCAATGTGCTGGAATTTATCAAGTGTCTGCTGTTGTCATATTTTAAATATTTCATGAAGCCAGGCAAGTCACAAAGCCAACCTCAGGGCCTCTATTGAAGGTTATTACACAAAGACGTGGGTATTCAAGGAAGGATTCATAGAGGGTCATTAATTTAACAGTGTATTGAATAGGACTGTCTCAGTCTATATACAATGTATTTATTTATCTTTCAATTTAGTTTTGTTCCTCCCTTTGGTCTTTAATATTTCTGCTGATTAACTCTAGTGTTAAGGTAATAAACAATATTTTCTGAAATGATTGTTTATTCCAATTTGGAAATAATGTAAATTGAAATTTATGAATTTAAATAATTTGCTCAGATTCTCAAAGTAAACAAATGGCCAAGAGGTATTGCTTCTATGAATCTTATAGAAAGAACCTAAGAATGTGAACATGTACTAATTCAAAGCCTCTCCTATATTCATCTTCAAGTTTAGTCCCTATCAACCTCCAGGTCTAAATCCTCTGTAGGTACCAGGGACCCTGGTTGTAACTAGCAAACCTGCAAGTGCTATTTTCAGAATAATGAATGTATCTTGTTTTATAGCAAACCAAATCTTTATATTTATGGGAAATTGACAGATAGAGGTATATATCTATGTCTATACATATATACAGACCCACACAACTTTTGATTTTTTTCTATTTTTCTTTGTAGATACTTAGAAGATACACAATGATCAATGTGATATATATTAGCTAATGGACACATTAATTCCGTATATGGTTTTATTTCCTAACAGTGTTTTCTGTGACTTAGCTACAGTTTCTATATTTAGCACAATGGACATATTTCAACTGAAATCATGATTTAAAGAGAACTGCAGTGTTGTACATGTTGTCATATTTTCTTAATAATGTCTGATTAACACTAATTCTATTTAAACTAAAAGTATTTATAATTAATGGCTCATAAAATCACATATCAAGTGCCTAAATAAATTAAACCAACTATATATATATATATATATATGTATATATATATATATATATATGCCAAGAGGTATCATTTCTATGAATCTTATAGAAAGAACCTAAAAATGTGAACATGTACATATATATATATATACATATACATATATATAATTATATATACCTATATAGTTATATATATATACATATATATAGTTACTTGTTGGTGGACATATTAAAGAATGTGTATGAAAATATGTACAGACTTGATATTAGTAAATGACTCAATTCTAGAACATAAGTTCTCTAAAACTGATAGTCTTAGAATCATACTTCTATTTCAAAATCTACTTTTCTCCCATATATATTTTAATTATTTAATTTGATTTTCATAGTGTTTGGCTAATACTTTATGGAGCAAAAATATTTACAGAGAGGCCATATAAATGGAAATTTAGAAGCCCCAAACATTGAAGAACTATGAGAATATTTTGGAAAAACAAAATCTTCAAGCCTATTTCACTTTTTTAAAAAAATTCACCTAGTAAAACTATATATCAGGAAGTTTTCTCTTTTATTTTTACCTGTTGATACTAGGAGTTTCAAGTGACAGGGATATAGAACTTTAGAAACTTCAGTCACAGTTCTTGGTATTGAATTAATAGGAAAAGAATTAAACAGAATCCAAAACCAGCCATTAGGCCTAACTAGTTCTAACAAAACTTTGTTCCCTGCCCCAAATATAACAGAAGTGGCACAAGGAAGTCTTTGAAGGAAATCATTGCTCCAGATGTCCCTTATCAGACTCACACTCCCTTGCATTTTTCAAGAAAATTCATTTTTACAGCATATTTCCAAGACTCTTGAACTTCTGCATAGTTTTCTCAAAAGGAGCAGAATGGAGTGACACAGGACCTAGGGGAATTTTCAGTTTGTCACATGCATTTAACCTAGAAGCGTTGTTTCTGAAACTCTTTTGCCTTAGGCCACAGTGAGCAATACATTTCACATTAGCTTTTGTGAGCAATGGGCCATATTTCTGAGACATTATTTATTCTATTTTTTTTCAATATTGACCATTACCTTGGAATTGATTCTGTGATTCACAAATGTGTTGCTATCTGAAGTTTGATAAACACTTGCTTTGAGTAAAAAGTTGTCTGGAAATAATCTACATCTATGTATCAAATTCAGAATGTTATAAGAATTATATCTAATGGTAGAGTAGCTTGCATTTACTGAGTGTATAAATTTTGTCACATTTTCAAAATTAATCACACATTCTCACTTAAAAATTCCATGAGCTAGACACAACTGACTTCTTAGACAGGGAAGAGATACATGGCTTGCCCTAGGACAATAGCAACCCTGGCTGGCTTACTTGGGGTCCATTACATTCTCTTGCTTATGAAAGAGTAAAAGAATCAAGCTCATGTCTGTCCAGTCTACTCCAAAGCCTTGTCAGAAAAGGTAGCTCTGTTCTCAGAAATAAGCTGTGGACACACACTTAAGAGCCTGGTCTATTTCTTTGTGCAGAACTAGACTGAGGAGGAGAGGCTCCTGAGCAACCTGTGTTCTGCCTCCAGCCTTCACTCATCAGCTAACATTTACATTCAAAACAGACTTACTCTTCTGTCATTTCTACAGCACAGAGTGAACAGAGCTGACAGAGAGGAGGGACCAGGAAGAGGACCATTGAAATGGGAAGGGCTAGTGGATCCATCATGGTTTTCCCAGTTCTATTAATGAGTAGGGAGGGTGAACTTCAAGCTGAGAGGAATGTTCTTTTTTCACCTTGCATGAAACTGTCTTTTTGGTATAGGAAGTATGTCATTAAGGAATAGGTATGGACATATCACCTCTCTGTCTAAAAACCTCAGCTCCTTCTGTTAGGAAAATTTACAAAAAGAAATCTATCCTTCATTAATACTAAAGGAATGGAAAGCATACAATCCAAATGTGACCTAAGTTTAAACTTTAAAGACTACAGAAATAAATATGTATTCTTCTTACAATCCCATTCTTCAGATCATTAATGTTAGAAAGATTGCTATATATTTTTCGAACTTTTGTTTGTAATTCATCCATACCTTGAATACTTCGTAAACCCTTGAACACATCACACACACACACACACACACACACACACACACACACACACACACCATTTTTTATGTAAGGTATGTATTTTGTCTTACAGTTTGTTTTTCAAATTTAAAATTAAGCAGTACACCCATTTCAAAGAATGTAAATATATAATGGCTTAGTTCTTTTAAAAAAAACTGCATAGTATCCTATAAGAGAGCTATACCACAATTGTTAATTAATCTCCTATTAATGTGGACATTAAAGCTGCATGAAATTATGTAATACAGAAATTGCTATCATCAATGTTATTGCACATTTTGGCTGGCAATTCAATAGAATAGGTTTCAATCATTAGGATTAGTAGACCACAAAATTTTCTTTTTGCATTTTTACCTTTGGTAGAAATTGGAAAAAAAAATATTTGTCCTCATTACATTCTTAGAAATTTTTCATTTTAATTTATATTTTTGTTATAAATAAGGCTGAGGATCTTTTCAATGGCTTCAGGTAATATCCCATTTCTTTTTATTAATTCATACTCACCACATCATACATCATGCTTCTTCCATATCAGTCATGGCACTTTTGTTGCCAGTACATCAGTTTATCTGGTTGTGAGGATCTGCTAACCTGCACATCTCTTGCAGTAATCTGAATTAATGGCCTCCTATGGCAAAGTGAAGCCCCAGTGAGAGATGACTTTGGTCTCAGATCTTCAACCTGCTCTGTGCTGTAAGGGTTATATAGAGGACAAATTATTTAACCTTTCTTGAATACTCAACCATCATTCCTCAATAGGATAATTTCTACTGCCTTTTCAAAGAATTGTTTTTTCATAAATGATTTAACCGTCACCAAAGAAAATTTATAATCTAGATTATAAATGTAACCATCAAGAATAAATTTATTTAGCATTCAATTAAAAATAACATTGGTCATGATCTTTGAACTTTTTAAAATTCCCCTCAACAAACCACCGAAATTTAATGTTTATTAATCCCTTGCTTCCCTTTCTAATTTTACCACATTTTAAAACTCTAATCAATAATTTTTTTAACTTGGGATTGCATTTGCTTTTTTGCAAATTTATTATCCTTAAATGAAGCCATATTGTGATGTATAGCTTGCAAATTCCTTTTTATTTCTATGTAATATTGTTTCATAAAAATACCTGCAAATGTGATTTTTCATTCTACAGTTGGGAGATATTATTTTTTCCCACTATTTTGCTATTACAAATTATGTAGCATGAACATTCTAAAACACAAGTGTATCATATTTTTTTAGGACAGCAACAGTTCTTAATCTTTGCTGAACATTAGATTCAGTGAGAAATTAAAAAAAAAAACGAT